GCCGGCGGCGCTGCAAGTACCGGTCCCATCCAAATGCAGTATAGTACCATTTTAAATGCCTCAGTACCGCGGTACCATACTAGTACCGGTATATCGTGCAACACTACTTTGTAATAATTTTTTAGTATATTACTTGTGTCGTGTAGAAGAGAATTATTTAAGAATGTAATTATGTAAGAATGTTAACACGCTGTTATATTTTTTTAGTATATTACTTGTGTGGTGTAGAAGAGAATTATTTATGTAGAGATACTGCTTGCAAACCAATGATGTAAGATGATGTCATGGGGTAGGACTGGATAAGTCTGACTTCTTCCTACTCCATTCAAGCATGTACTAGGTATAAGCAAATTGATATTGGATTAGCATTTGTTGGATATGTGTAAAATTATGTGTGTTGTCATATCAACTGTCTTTACATGCTTGAAAGAATAAATCAAATCAAATCAATTCAAATCATCAGGTGCAATCTCCAAGCAACGCAATCTGACTTGACCCATCTCATTGTTGTATTCTTATCACAACAATCACCAAATCACTGTTCATCATCTGCATTGAAGTAACATATGTTAGACTAATGCTCTGAAGCAGTGGGGGAAAACCACATGCCAGTTTCCTGAAATGAATGATGTTTCCCTTCAGCTGGTCTCCAGAGCCATTTGAGATTTTCAAGAAACTAAATGTAATTTTGATTTTCCAGCACTTATGTGCTTCACGTTAACGCAAGTAAATCCCCTGTAGTTTGCTGTTTAGATGACATATTGCAAAAGCCATTTTCACATCTGGTGTAGTGCTCAACCGAACCTATTCGCACCCCCAACAAACCCCAGATACACACATGCACATTAAGACACACATTTTTTTCTCTTCCTTTTACTCCCATTATTACCCTCTCCCTCTTTCTCTCTCTTTATACATATATAAAATGCATATAGATTTTTGTAAACATACAAAGTGTGACACTTTGGTGATCTGTCTTTGATAGAACTAGAATCAAGCATGAGCAATCTTCCTTGTCTGAAAAACAAATGTTGCTAAAATCCATATCAAACTACTAACAGATGTGGGGCATTGCCAACTTAGATTAGTGTCAGACACAACAATTTGTCATTTTATCCTCTGTAGTGTGTCACAGTGGAAAGCCAGTGATTCTGGACCTACTGTATGGCTCATGATGCCCCAGTAAAAACACAAACATGTCATATTTACAAGCTCTCTTTTTCCAAGCTTGACAATTTACAGTATTTGCTGTGACACTTCAGATACCATGATTGTTGGCATTCACAGAAGTCTGTCTCTGCTCCCTCCTGACCAATCACCAAGATCACCTAATATGACATAGTGACCATCTGAAAATAGAAATAGAACTTTTGTGACTAAGATGCTACAAATAACCAAACCTTATATATGTAGCATTTGGGGGAAAGACTCTTTTCTTAAACCTACAGGCATAAGTCAAAACAATTAGCACACTTTTTTCTTAATTTCAAGAAATTAGGCAAAATAACTAAATAAATAAAATGTATGTGCATTTCCATCGACTACTTTTGTGCAAATATTAGGGGATGGCTGTGAAGAGACAGCCAGAGGTGCACATCCTTCAGTCAGGCCCGCTGAACACCGGAAGTAGGAAAGGACTCTATGGGATGATGTAATTAAAAAAGTACCAGTCACATCTTAAATGAACAAAAATAATGTGAAAAACATTATTGAAATATGGTATTTGTGTTTGCTTCAAATATTATTTTGACGAAGGGTATAACCTCCATCATAGTGTTTCACCCAAATATTTTTATTTGCTGCAAAAACGTCAGTGGACATTTAAGTTACATGTTTTACATATGACAATATTTATTCACTATATCTACTTGCAGTGGATTTCTACTCAGGCTTTTTATATGCAAATTGAAATGTGAAAGACGTGGTTGCATGCCTGCAGGTGACTCTGGAACAGGATGATGATGATGAGTGAGGAGAACTTTGTGTGTTTTCAAAAGGTTCAGATTGCTTGTAGGCATGAGATCCTGTGCAGG